GGGCACATTGTAAGAATGAGAGAGAGAGAAGGTGCCCTGCCCCCCAAATTTTTCCTCTTGTTTGAATCAGACCAAGCCTCTCTCTTAAACTGTTTATAAGTTATTGATTTCACCCTCAGTGTTTTTTGAAGCATGTTTACTTGGAGTGGCGAGATAAAACCACCTGGTTGCACCATCGGCTCTGAATGTTTTCCAAGATCCAGCCTTCGCAAAAGTTAATCTTATGTTTCTTGTCTTGTTTCCATTGTAGAAAACTGTGTGGAGTTCCAGAAACTGAATGTGAGCAACCACAGCCATGTGTCCCTGCAGAACGCCACCTCTCCCGTCATGGAGTTTTGGGAGTAAGTGGAACACAACTTGTCTCCCTTGGCCTTTGGGGGCTCCATCATGGTTCTGCTCAGTTAACATTGTCCCTGGAAAAAGCCTGACCCTTCCTCCACCCTCACACTTCCTGGCTTCTGTGAGTGTTTAACTGCATTGGAAGCCAGAGTAGAGATCTTTAGAGGTTTCCCAAAGGGCAGATGAGAGAAATGCTTTCTTGTTCTTTGATGACATGTCAGCATGCCTAGCTGCTTATTAGGTCAAGATATGCTTGGTTAAATAATGAACAGTTTAAAAATTCATTTTTTAAAGAAAGAGTCTCACAGCATTGTCTGCAAATACTTCTGAAGTTTGTGAGCACTTGTTCCCCGGAAGTGTTTAACCAGCACAAGGCTGCTGTTGATGGCTGTTGGGAAGGTGTCTGAATCCACTGACATTACAGGCTTTAATTGTGTTGGTGGGCATGTTCCCAGGGATGGGCATTTTTCATCAGTGTGCCAAAGGGGTCTATGACTTAGGAGTTACAGGACTGCCACATACGATTGTATTAGTTGTTCACTGTACAACCCTAGGGGGCGTCGTTAATACTGTGAAATATGTGCTGCAGAATTGTACAGTGTCCACCTGCATAACTGTACGCAGTGGTCCTGACTTAGGAGCATCTATAGTAAAAGGAGGATCCCTTGCTTAAGGTATTGAAGAGAAGTTTCTTCTGTGAGTTGAAGGCTGGCTAAATGCTTTCTGAGGCTTTTTAATCTGAAAAAGTCTGCTTTTGTTGAGGAACCTTCCCTACTAATGCTGATTAATAGTAGTGTGGAGGGGCAGTAGTTGTATGAGTGATTTTTATTCTTTTCCCAGGTATCATTCCTCTCCTTCCCTCTCTAGGGTTCATTATGCTGAATTTAGATTGTCATTCTCATGTTTATACTCTATGTAAATCTTCCAAATAGTACCAAGATCTTTCTTGCATGTTTTAAAATTTTGTACTAATGGTATCCATTACTTACATTTTTTACAACTTTGTTTCTTTGCTCAATATTGATTTTGAGATGTGTATCTATTGATACCTGTAGCTTTGGTTTATTCATTATTTTCCTGCTATATAGCATTTCAGTGTATAAATAGACTGCATTGTATTTAGCCAGCTCCTCTGGATGAGCATTTGGACTGTCTCCCGTTTCCCACTGTTATTAAGCACACTGAGTGAATGTCTTGTCCATGCTTCCCTGGCTTTCCTGTGTGTATGAGTGAAGATTTCCAGGCCATACACCTAAGAGTGGAGTTGCTGGGTAGTAGGGCGCATGCATTATCAGTTTTATCAGATAATGTCGAAATACTTTCTAAAATGACTATTCCAATTTTTTCTCCAAACAAGAGTGTGAGAATTTCTACTGTTCCATATACTAGACAGCACTTGGTTGGGTCAGAGTTTTTAAGTTTTACTTGTTTAATGAGTATGAAACGGTATCCCACTGTTTTAAATGTGCATTCTTCTATTTACTTGTGAGGTTGAACATCTTTTCATGTTTTTTTTTTCTCTTTATTTGGGTTTCCTCATTTGTGAACTTCCTCCTCATATCATTTTCTATTTGAATAGTTTGTCTTTTCTCATAGGTAGGAAATCTTGATACATTCTAGGTATTAGCATCTATGCTGCAAATAGTTTTTCCTACTATATGGCTTTTTTTTCTTATTTACTGCATTTAGGGTTTTTTGGAAGTCAAATTTGTCAATCTTTTTGGTTTGCACAGTTGGTGTCAAGTTATATTTCCTTACTCTACAGTTGTAAAAATTTTCTGTATTTTCTTCTAGGAGTTTTAAAGTTTTGTTTTCTCACATTTATGCATATAATCTATCTGGAATTTTATTTTTGCATGTGATATGAGGTAGGAATCTAGTTTTTAAAAATATTAATAACCAATTTCTCCAGCAATATTTACTGAATCATTCATTTTTTTTCCTACCGATTTCTAATGCCATTTTCCATGTGTCGTTTTTCTAAAAACACAGGTCTGTTTTAGGGCTCTCTCTGCTGTTCTATTGGTCTCTTATGCTAATTGTGTGTGACTACTATATCTATAGTTTTATTGTAAGCCTTGAGCCGGTAAAGCAAGTCCCTCACTTTGTTCTTTTCCAGAATTGTTTTACTCTTCCAAATGAATTTTAGAATCAGCTTGTCAAGTTAAACAAACAACAATAAAGAACAAAACCACTCTATGGGAATTTTTATTGGGAGCATACCTGAACTTACAGGTTAATATGAGGAAAACTGACATCTTTATGCTTGAACCCCTCTGTCCATGAACATAGGCTAGCTCTCCATTTGTTTAGGTCTTTTGAAATACCTGATGGAGTAGTGCTATTAAATGTGGCCTTCGGAGTAGCAGCATTACAATCACCTGCTTAGCAATGCAAATTCTCCACCCCTCCCCAGACCTAAGGAGACAGAACGGGCAATAGTCTTAGTCTCAAATAGAGGATATGACATTGTGCTAGAGAGGAGAATGCTGTAGTAGATGGGCCTGTGTGGCCTTTTCCCACCCCATTGGGCTGTGATTTTTCAGTTGAATGTCACAGAGACTTCTTTTAGACATGCACATTTGAGGGTCTGCAAAACATGGACTCTGTGCTCCCTTAGCAAACCCATCCTAAAAATCCCACGCTGTACAAGGTATTTGTGTAACCTACTGTTGTTTTGTACTATTTGTTTACTTTGTAACATATATGGAAAACCTCAATTAAATCATTTGTGCAATGTGTTTGTTTATTGTTTGAATTCCCCTTAGGGAGTCATAAAGCAGCACCTTTTCTGGCTTTACTCACTACTGTTTGTCACTACAGGGCTCTCAGTAAATGTTTACAAAATGGATAGATGCATGAGAGAAAGGCAGGCAAGCAGTTTTTCTAGAAAATACTATATGAAGAGAGTCAAAGTAAGCTCTTGCAAGAACTCATCTTGTCACTCAGCTCCTCAGCAACAGCATCAATTGCTTTCAGGATCCCTTTGCAATAGCCATATCTCCCACTTATTTGGGCAGTGAGATTCAGGGTGTGACAGCTAGTCTGTGTCCTCAGGTGTAACTGGACCTTTTTGCTTATTTAGTTATTCAAGATGAAAGTTAATGGGAGAATGAACCCACAATTTTAGTTTTCTATCAAGATTGCATGTGTATCATCTATGCAGTGTTGAATTCTGCATCCTAAAAGTACTCAAATGCTGGTGTGACATTCACCTCTTCAAAAGATGCTTTTGTCAGACAGCTCTAATTCATCTTTTCCCCAGAGGCGAGCTTGGAACATAGAAACTCTGTAAAATGTACATAGCATCCCATGAAAAACTATTTGAAGCCACATAAATTTGAGAAGGGCTGAAAGCTGTGCCTTTCCGTAAGAACATCTGTTATCTTTCATTAACCCAAATTCCCAAATGCATTTTCCTATGAAATCATTTGAAATCTTTCCCCTCTTGCCCCCACCCTACCCTCACTTTCTGAATGTTAGCATTCCACTAAACACAGTCCGAAAATTTAAGGAAGTTGCTTCTTCAATTCAGCGAACAGTTGACTCCTGGAGCTTTAGAAAGAACAGACCTAATTCCTTTCCTATGTGACAGTCCTTCAAGTATTGGATCAGGTTTCCTCAAAAAACGTTTCTTCTCCAGTTTTCTTCACTGTTCTCTTGTATGGCTGGCTCACAGATGCCTCACCTTGGTTCACATCTCCAGTGTGTTCTTGTTGTCCTTTCTCACTGCCTGTAACTCCAGGGACCTCATTCAGGGCCACGTCGCATGGTCAGAGTAGACTGCCTCAGCTGGCTGAATGTTCATTCATTTGACAAATGCCTAAGCTCCTGGGCATATAGGAAGAACACTGTATTTTTGGAAGAGGCAGGAATGTAAGATGCAAGTCTAACCCTTTAGCAGCAGAGATGAAGCAAGCCCTCAGATTACCACAATATCAGTTACAAGGTGCTGCTTCTCTGCCCATAGCTGGCCATGGCTTCACCTTGACCTTGGGCACCTGGTCTCACCTACCTCCCATCTTAAAGTTTCATTTCTCTTCTCAGGGTTTAAATTATTTAAATTAAGCCAATAATTTAAATTATTGGCTTAGCCAGTAAGGCCCTGGGTCATTCCTGGATTCTGATTTGGGTACGGGGGCCTATGGAGCAGGGGCAACTTTTTCTTCCTAAGGTCAAATCTAAAAATTAGGCCATTCAGATTTCTCTTAGTAACTCATTATGCATCTGGCATCTCTGCATTTATCTAAATATGTTTGCAGTTCTAAATTTTGAGCCTATGTCCTGTGGTGGAGTTGAGTGCTATTATGTGTATGACCAGCATTGTGGCATCAGATGGGCTTTGGTCTGTTTTCACTTCCCTTTCTCAGACCCTTGAGTCCCTTTAGTCCAGTGTTCTATAAGTAAGTTCATGTTTGTTATGTCTACAACAGTTGAAATTGCTTTTGTATGGTATCTGTTCAACAAATTTTGTTGAGCACATATTATATGCTTGGCCCAAATTAAGCTTTAAGGGGTATTTGGTTCTATGTCTTTATTCAAAAGGGTAAAATCTTGTTTTTCTGGTTTATCTTCACTGGAGAAGTTTTATCGAATTTGTTTATTTCTAAATCACGTGGCCACTTGAATTGATTTTCTTTGGACACAAATTGGGGAGGCAAAGGACCTGGAGTGAAACCCAAATTCTCTCTGTGAGCCCAGGGCCCGTCCTTGCCTTCCTCTCAGGCTCTTCTTCCTTCTTGCCCATCTCCCTTCTCTGCACTGGCCTTCTTTCTGTCCTTTGTCCATACTGGGCTTGTCCCAGCCTCAGTCTCAGGCTGCCTTTGTTTAAAAGATTTCTTATCAGATTCTTATGTGTATGGCTCCTTCTTATCATTGAGTTATAATTCAAATGTCATTGGGGAAGCCCTCCCTGACCATGCAACGAAATCAGCACCCAGTCCCTCTCAACCCCATCACTCTTTGATTGTCTACATAATATTTAGCCGAAATGAGGATTTGT